TTGTTATTGTTGTTGATGATGAGGCTGAGGATGATGGTGATGTTGATGGTGATGTTGATGGTGATGTTGATGGTGATGTTGATGGTGATGTTGATGTTGATGATGTTTTTGTTGTTGAGGCTGATGATGATGAGGGTAATGATGGTGATGGCGATGATGAGAATGGTGTTGTTGTTGATGCTGATGTTAGAGCTATTTGGTAAATAAAGAACATTATATAAATAGAAAAAATGGAAATAATGTTAAATTTCTAAATAAATTATTCTTTTTGTGTCTCTAGTGATCTTTCTGTTTAAATAAGATAGCTCTATGACGAAAACATAATAGTACGAATTCTATTTGATACGAACCAGGTGGATATCGCGTTCCAAAAATCACAATCATTGTCATAACATTCATTTTATATGACATGTTTGTATTTTGATTGGTTAGATTGCTAAATAATTGACATTGTAAATTTGACTGATAATAAGTCGCTGCCGTACATTCACCTCGGCTCAAGCAATTCATTTGACAACGAAGGATGTCCGATGTTGTCTGATTATCAAATGGTAAACAAGTTGACGGAACACATTGAAATATTTTATCATTGAGAATTGACATTAGAACAGACCGAATATCATTTGCCATCGTTTGTATAGCAAGCAAAAACAAAAATAGTAGAGAAACAGTTCTTGAAGTCATCATGAAAGTGGATTTTGATGAAATGAATGAAACTGAAAAGAAAAATATTCTACAACAAAAAAAGCATAATATTTTTTCTCATTCTCTGTCTGTCTTTCTCTCTTTTCATTTTTCTTTCTATATTTTTCCATTGAAAGCCCTAACGGGACCGGATTTTTTTGTCCCGGTTCAAACACCCTTGACAATCAGTGGCGATATCACCTACTACAAAGAAAAGTTTTCCAGGATTCTACTATAGCCTCGATCCGTTACTTTCGGAGCAGTGATTGGGATCGAGTTCTGTGTACAGGACAGTCTTGCTATATTCTAATCTCATCAGTTGAATAAGAAATTATACGTTGATGGACTTTTCGTCATAAGAAGACTTTGTTATGACGTAGGAGACAATTAAAGATTTCGATTGATTTGTGCATGCGTGATTTGCAGCGAATTAAAATACCATTCTGCAGTGAAACTAATTACTTATCTAGCGAGTATGACTTTTCCAGCAGAAATACTCGGATTACTGAAACGAGCACTCATAAATAGTGCAATGGGCACTCAAAGTAATACTCTTTAAAGCATTTTCTTCATTGAATATTCAATAGGACAGTGGCGTATGTCTGCTTTTCTTTCAATAAAACTTTCGCTTTACATATAAGAGAATAAGTCTTTCCACGAAATATTTTTTACGAAACATTATTGTGTCTGGATCAGTTCAGTTGTTGTTGTTTCTTCATTTAGAAAACAGAGGAAATTTCAGCCTATAGTTACAAGTTGTATGCCCACCTTTGCTGAGACCAAAGTTCGGTTTTTTGCAGATAATTGTTTTTATAATAATTAAATTTCGACACAATCATATTAAGTTTAAGAATCTTGCAAAATACTATAGAACGCAATCACAAAATCAGAACAAAGAATTGTACTAGTGGAAAAACTATATCCACGTATAAAAGAATTTCCATCAAAGTAATCGGTGATAAGTTAAATTAAATATAGTGTCAGTTTTTTAACAATTTAGTTTTGCTTTATATCCCCTAGATATGAATAAATCAAGTAAATTCAATGAAATTTATGCAAAAGCGAACATAAATTCTTTTTTTAGCTTTTATCCATCCTTTGTTTATATGTATATCAATTTGTTGATATTCATCTTGCTTATGTAATTTCGCTGTGACCGTTCAACTAAACCAATGATGTCGTGATCGAAGTATTTAGACTTTTTATGATTAAACTATATATTCTGTTTATCATTTCTGTATTCTTACATGTTCGATCTTTGCATTTGCAGTATCTTTTTTATGTTAATATGTTATATGACTGAGTAATAAAGATTGAATTAATAATAATAAATAGAGAAAACGGTATACATGTGGTGGTAGATAATAAGCAAAAGTTCAGCACTCATAAAATTAGTAGCAAGTAGTTCTTTATAGAATTAAACGATCTAGCACATGCACTCAGCATGAGTATGTTCACTAGGATTTTACTTTTTTGATTACAATAACGAGCGTTTAAAGAATAGAAACATGAAAAATGAAAGAAAAAAGCAGGTCGCCGAATCGTTTCAATTAACATATCGCAATGTATTCGATGAATAAACAAAAAGAAAAACGACATTCTTATGAAATTATTTAGATTAGAAGTTAGCAAATTACAAGTGAAAAAAATAACAATCGAATGTTCATTTTCATAAATTTAGACAGATATTTCAACGAAAACTTTGGATAAATAATCACTTTTTCAAGTCTGATCGTTTGATTTTACTAGTTTTCGATTATTTTCTACAGTCAGAAGAATAGAATTTGGTGTAAAGTCTAAAACATTCTGCTTGAAACAGTCAACAGGCGTCGGTTTCAATACTATCCAACGAAAAGTATTGAAATTGAAGCATTTCGCTGGCGTTCCGCTATATAAAAAAGGGTTGAAATATCAGCTCACGACAGGTTTTAACGACAAATTGTATCTCTCAAATTTTGCTTGCAACTGGCCTCGCACAGTTCTTCTTCCATTATGTTAGTTATTCCACTTTATTCATGTGCAATATTTCTAATATCAGGTATTTTAAGCAGAAGCAAAGTACCCACGATAAATACGATTCTGAAAACATACTCCTTTTGATCTTTTGCTTGGAAGAACAAAAGATCTCGGTGTTACTTTGTAAAATTAAGATGTACTGTCCTCAATTTCCACACTATTGCATACGAAACTTTTCTTTTCCCTTCCTTTTCCTCATCCTTAGTTACCGATGAAACCTGGGCTGTTTTACTCATTCTAGCTTGATGTAATTCGTCATAAAGTTTTCTATTCCCTTTTAAAATAAAAACAACTTTTTTTCCAAATTTCAGCTGTTAGCGTAGTTCAACTCACCGTACTTAATATAGTCTCTTAGGTAGTTCAGTTGATAACAATTCGACTTTTCCATCAACTATTTTGATACTTTGACTATTTCCCGATAATTATCAATTAGCAACAGGACAATAATTTCAATGCATTTTTCACACATTAGTTTTAAACTTGGAATGACGTTTTTAAATAAGCATAACACTCGTTTTTTTTCGGTTACTCCTGATATATTCTGCCTATAGTATTTTGTGATACTTTATTTTCCAAAGAGAAGCATCTATTGTTACTCTCTTCCGGATTCTTGTTAAAAACACTAACGAAACAAAAGAAATTAATTTGAAAAATTTCCTGGTGGCATGCGACTCACAAGCATAAAAATAAACTTCAACAAACAAATGTCTTGTATATTCTGATAAAATAAAAGATTTTCTTTTAACACAGTTGCATTTTCATAATGAATATTATTAGGAAAATGAACGAAAAGAAACTCAATCGAGGATATTTCCCTAACAAAGAAAACAATAAGAAATATGATTTTCTTATTTTCTGAGAAGATAAAACATCAATGAGAATAAATTCTTTCGTAGAAAGTGACTTCTAGAAAAGAAAAGAAGTGAACTGATCAAATTAAAATCTGTTGATTATCATAAAACTATTAGACCACAGCGCACAAATCATCAGATTAGACTATTCTCGCACGATATCGAATAACGGCTTTTTACAGATTCTTCCGAGTCATCTTGATGAAAAATCGCTCCAATGGAATGTTGAATTCTTTGATCGATCATCAATCAAAATGTATAATCAAGTATTTCTGAATGACTCTGTTGCCTTTTGTTGATATTGAGGAAATCATTTCCTATAAAATATTTCGATTCATTAAGAATGTGTAGGGAGTTGTTATATTGAAAATATATCGATGTGAAGCTAGCACGACGAAGTGATGCGTTAGCTAAAGACGTTTTCACTAAATAAGTCCCGCCCATAAAACTAGTTCATTCGATTTGGAATATAATTCTGCATCCAATAGTGATGTTTTTATTCACGGAACCAGGTTCGAAAAAAATTTTAACTACATCTGAGCTGTTTTTCTATATCGGAGACAAAGCTCTGAATAATGTTTTTCCAAAGCTTGTCCCGTAAATAGAAATATCACCATTTACTACAGAATTGAATTCTGAGTCGAATGCACTAGTTTTTATGAACGGAACTTATTTGGTAAAAAGGTTTTTACCTAACGCATTGTTTCTTCGTGCTAGCTCCATCCTGCTAGCTTTACATTGATGATGGTAAATCGTAGTTCTAGGATTTGTTCTGGGATCGTTTTCTATGAAGCAAAAGAGTATCGAATATCTTAATCCATCTCCGTCATTGTGTTTTCAAAAACGAAATATCAAAATTCGAAGATCTTCAGAAGAAAATTCTTCCAAATGTGGATGTGAGAGACTGAGAATGATTCTTATTTGTATGCACAGCATTTCTCTCGTCTTAAAGTATAAGATGAGTAAAACAAAGCAGAGATTCACATTTACAATCTTCTAACAATATTTAGTATAGACAACGAAGATTTTATCTAATAATATAAAATTAATGAAAACCAATAGAATCTTCTAATGAGAGGTATGAGTGGGGAATTCACATAATCTCAACTATGTTCACAATTTCCATATTCAAGTTGCTTATCTCCCCTTCCATTCATTCGAAACATTAATTTTTTTTCTTAGTGTGATCAAATAGAAATACACGACTAGCAAAAGTTAAGACGTTCATGATGTGGAGACGACTGTATTGTTTGTTGCATGTTCAATGATTGAAATTACAAATACAGTGATACATTTTTCGAACATCTTCTGGAAGAATGGTTAAACTACGAAATAAACCAAGAAGTATTGTTATAATACAAAGCATATCGGAATTTTATGTGAGATCGGTATCAGAGATGATACCCCATCATGATGATGAATTAAGGTTTTTTTTCGAAAACCGTTAATAACTGCCGTTTCGTTCGGACAACGTGAGAAAACTTAACCATTTGTCGCCAGGGCACAATACTATCGTGATTATAATATTATTTAGGCTTCATCGAAAACATTCCTACCTTTTCTTTCTTATCTTTGGTAACACTATTGCAGCATCGTTTCGTATAGCTATGTGCTCTCTCGTATGAATGAAACTGCGATTCAAAACCAGAACCGATCTACATCTCTCGATATGTATTCTCACAAAACCAAACCAAATTAAATTCCTATTGTTCTATACATGTATCTTTCCACATGAGCTATGTATCATTCAATCTATTACGTAGAACTTCTGACTGAATATGGCAACGCTCACAAATATCTTGTATAGTTTGTACTCACACAAGCAGATGAGCGAAGAAACGTGCCGATACACGTTATCAGTGTGATACTTGCGACGTTGGACTTCATGTAATAGGTTGTTTTGAAGATCATCATACTCTGAGGCATTTCTAAATGCTTCTGTATAACAATAAAATTTGTTCCAAATATTTTTTCAAAGGAAACCTCGGCACCCAAGAGTTAATTAAAAACTTTTCTTCATTGAGTTTTATTCAAATCAAAATCAAAATTATTTCGAGACAACCAATAATCTTTTGTAAATTTATGCCACTATATTCCTTCCACCATTCAAATTATATTTTTTTTAAAACTCTTGTTCTGTCCTTTTCATGTTATCAATACAATTCAGCACTGTTCAGGGCAGCACTATTCTGTCCACCAGTAAGGAATACCGTTCTATTTGCTAAAATTGATGCTGTATGACAATATCGTGCAGCCTTCATATATCCTGCTGTTGACCAATTACCTGCTGATGGATCATACAATTCAGCACTGTCCACGGTAACACTACCATTCTGTCCACCAGTAACTAAGACTGTTCCATTTGATAAAACCGATGCTGTATGTTGAGATCGTGCAACACTCATATTTCCAATTGTTGTCCAATTACCTGTTAATGGATCATACAATTCAACACTGTTTAGAGGAACATCATTATGTGCTCCACCAGTAACTAAAACTTTTCCATTGGATAAAACTGATGCTGTATGACAACATCGTGCAGCTTTCATATTTCCTGTTGTTGCCCAAGTACCTGTTGATGGATCATACCATTCAGCAGTGTTCAGGCTAACACTACCATTCTGTCCACCAGTAACTAGAACTGTTCCGTCTGATAAAACTGATGCTGTATGTTGAGATCGGGTAGCACTCATATTCATACTGTAGGTCCATGCTGTAAAAGAAAAAAATTGCCTCAGTAAAATTGAAAAGAAGTATTTGTTGTTGCAAAATGAAATCTTTTTTGATCGATACAAATAATTCGATTGACAAAGCTTATTAACAGCAAAAGTGTAAAGAGAGAAGGAGAGGTCCATTCTTCCTGTAGTGCCCAATGGTATTTTTATCAATCTGAACAACTTTGTATATCTCCTCCAAACTCATCCTCTTAATTCAATCTCATAACTAATCCGAAAATACTATGTTCAACACAAGGGTTGCAGCTACTTTCCCGAAGTTTACATTTTAAAGTGAAACACAAGGAACTCCAAAACCACACTTAATATTTTTATCAGTGACCACGACCTATTTGCTCGACATAATCATTGTCAAAAGATTAAGACAATAATGTAGAATTTAGTTCATCTGTCATCATCTAAGTGAATACAGAAATGACCTCAAAAAGACCAGAAATAGACTAATCTCATTTCTTCATAGAAGATCAATACTATATATAAAAACTTCTCGGGACAAATCAGATCAAATAGAACTAACGAAGGAACAACGACAACTGTAATTGATCCCTTTTTAACATAATGCGCAAAGTCAACACTTATCGGCTATAATAATATTTTAAGAATGACTATGAAAAAATGCTCATAATTTTCCCTGCCACGACTATTTGTAAAGCTATTTCTTCTAATATCAATGCTTTGTGAAATTTTATTTCCAACTCGCCCACGACCAGACTCTTAAACTAATTCATCCTTATCATGAATGTACCAAACATTTGTTTCGCACATTACCCTAGTGTCTCATTTAATGGGCCACAGTAGCAGGGAACCTCGGTGGTCATCAATGATCAACGATCAACAAATCAATCATCTTCGCTTTTATCACCTTCCTCCTTGCTGATGGGCCTAGTTTAGTTATTCACGTCTTTGAATGTATTTAAGATCACTTATCACAGTGAATTCAATAAAAAATATTAATGCAGCGACAGCTGTATCTGCTATAGTGAACACAATAGCCTATTAATAATCTCAGATGATCCAAGTTGTAATATCTACTATGTTTACGAGGCACGTGCGATTTTTACCGATCTGTCGAAATCAGTAGTAATGGATAAAGCAGAAAGCGTGAATACGATGTCACGAATAATTAGCATAGTAACCTTTTGGACAATATGGGAGAGATGGTTCGAAATATAAAGAAAACTAAAACAGGAGATGACACTAAAAACTAATCAATTCGAGGTTTTTCAAATCCCAGTTAGGTCAGTGCATGTCAGTATATCACAGTACAAAGCGACTAAATACAGCTTTATCTGAAAAACATTGTCCTTTGGAAAATTCTCAATACAATTTACATTCGTATTTGCGCACCCCTCGAAATAAAAACATAGTTTGGTCGTAGCGATCGACTGGAAGAACCTAACTATCTCATCGTAATACCGACTGTGTACTGTTGTTATTGTTGTTGATGATGAGGATGAGGATGATGGTGATGTGCGAAACAAATGTTTGGTACA